AATGTGTCCATTTCATCTAAGTTTTCAAATTTGATGGTATTTCATAGTATTGTTGTTATTGTTTGAAATTTCATTTGTTTCTATTGTGATGTCCATTGAATTTTTTATTCTTGATAGTTATATCTTCTTTTCCTTTAAGCTTGCCAGTAGTTTGTCAATTTTGTTAAGCCTTTCAAGGAACCAACGTATTTTCTTGCTGATTTTTTCCATTTTCTACTTTCCTATTCATTTTTTCTACTCTAATCTTTATTATTTTAGTTATACTCATGTTAGTTGGATCCTATTAAGTGCAGGTATGACTTTATTTGGAGATTATTTGTGGCTAAAAGTTGTGTACAGGTGTCAAGGTGACAAGGTGTGGTCTCTGAGGGTTAGATTTTATGTCGATTGATGTGCCTGTGTGGGGGTCGGGTGGAGTCCAACCTCTCCGTTAGGTCATTGCCTGGTGATGTCTCCTTGGGCCTTTTTATCATAGAGACCCTGAGGAAGACTGAGCTCCGCTTACTCTTCACTTTCCTGCTTCCCTGGGTCCAGTGTCTCCTATCTGTGGCCAGTGGCCTATCAGATCGGTTAAATGAATGATTCTGTAAGAAAAATGAATGCATTTGAATTGTGGTGCTGGTGAAAAATATTGAAAACAACATTGACTGCCAAGGGGCTAAGCTAATCCGTCTTGGAAGAAGCATACCCAGAGCTTTTGCTTGATTTTTTTTTTAAAGTGTCTCAGACAGGGTAGAACTGCCCTTATGGGTTTCTGAGATTGGTTTTAAACTGCTGACTTTAAGACCCAGAGCTTTTGTTAGCAGCAAGGATGGCGAGACTTAGTCTAACATGCTTTGTGGATATGTTGTCTGTATAGACCAGTCCCTCAAGGAGGATGTCCTATTTAGTATAGTGGAGAGGCAGCAAAAACAATAACCAAGGAGATAGATTGACACCATGGCAACAACAATGGACTAAAACATCGGAACAATTGTGAGGATGGAGTAGGACTGAGCAGTGCTTCCTTCTGTTACGCTTAAGGTTGCTATGGGTTGGAACGGACCTCATGGCACCTAACCACAATAATAACAACATCAATGGAATACTGTCAGTGTGTTAGAACAGCGGTTCTCAACCTGTGGGTTGCGACCCCTTTGGGGGTCGAATGACCCTTTCACAGGGGTCGCCCAATTCATAACAGTAGCAAAATTACAGTTATGAAATGACAATAAAAATAATTTTATGGTTGGGGGGGTCACCACAACATGAGGAACTGTATTAAAGGGTCACGGCATGAGGAAGGTGGAGAACCACTGTGTTAGAAGATACCCTGGGGGAAAAAAAGATACTCTGGAACTTGTTCTTGAACATAAAAGTAGCTAAAGCTACTAGAGGAAACGATGAAGTAAAAGAGTTGAATAGAAAACTGTAAAGGGCACCTCAAGGTAAAGTATTATAAGGACATGTCCAGGACCATGCAGTGTTCCTTTCTGTTGTACATAGGGTCGCTGTGGGTTGGAACCAACTTGATAGCAGCAGCTAAAAAAACCCAACCCAAACAACAACAACAACAATTAGCACAGATTCCTTGTTCAATGTTAGGAGAGGATCTCATAGTCTATTTGATTAGCTCATTGAAGAATGAGTTTCAAGATGCCCTACACTAAGCTGAAATACCAGACCTACTATATATTTAGAAAAACTTATTTTTAAAGGCTTAGGGAAATTGGCACGTGTTAAAATTGGGATTAAACACATGAAGCCACAAATGGAGTGCCACAAGCACAGTTTTTATCAAAGCAGGAAGAAACAAAGTTTGAAGGGAGTCCCAGCATCTCTGGAGACTCCTGCGATTGCTATTTCATGTTAGCCAAGCTTGACAGTGGAAACTTCCATAATTGAATTAAGGCTCTGCCTGCAGTGGGGCTGACTGGGATCCATGTGAGTAGTGGCCAAGTTGTTAGGTGCCATCAAGTTGGTTCCAACCCTATGCAAAAGAGAATGAAGCCCTGCCCATGCCTGGGTTACCCTCATGGTGTCAATTCATATCCTCCAGGGCCGTCCTTTATCGCTTTCCCCCACTTTACCAAGCATGATGCCTTCTCCAGGGAATGGTCTCTCCTGATAACATGTCCAAAGTATATAAGATGCTTTCCTTGCTTCTAAGGAACACCCTGGCCATACGTCTTCCAAGACAGATAGCTTTGCCCTTTTAGCCATCCATGGTACTTTCAATATTCTTCTCCAGCATTACAATTCAACTATACCTATTCTTCTTCAGCCTCTTTAATTCAATGTCCAACTTTCACATGCAGATGAAGCAATGGAAAATACCATGGCTTGGGTCAGGCACATCTTAGTCCTCAAAGTAACATTCTTGCTTTTCAGTACTTTTAAGAGGTCTTGTGCAGCAGATTTACCTAATGCAACTTGTCTTTTGATCTCTTGACTGCTCCTTCCATGAGTATTGATTGTGGGACCAAGCAAGACAAAATTCTTGACTGTTTCAACATTTTTTCCATATATTATGTTACCTATTGGCTCAGTTGTGGTTGTGAGGATCTTAAGTCTTCTTTACATTGCATTGTAATCCATACTGAAGGCTGCAACCCTTGACCTTCACCAGCAAGTGCTTCAATTCCTCCTCAATTTCAGCAAGCAAAGTTGTGACATCTGCATATTGCAGGTTGTTAATAAGCCTTTCTCCAAACCTGATGCTACATTCTTCTTCATATAATCCAGCTTCTCTGATGATTTGCTTAGCATACAGATTGAATGAAAATGGTGAGAATATACAACTCTGGATCTATAATTTGAGAATCCTGTTGGCTCATCTTCCTTTGGAATGTGTACAAATATGGATCTCTTCCAGTCAGTGGTCCATGTAGTTGTCTTCCAAATTTTCTGGCATAGAAGTGTAAGTGCTTCCCATGTTTCATCAGCTTGTTGAAACATTTAAATTGGTATTCTAACAATTCCTGTAGCCTTGTTTTTGGCTAATGCTTTCCGTGCAGCTTGAATGTCTACCTTCAGCATCATTGGTTCTTGCTCACGTGCTCCCTCCTGAAATGGTGAGGTGTGGACAGGTTCTTTTCGGTACAGTGATGCTGGGTATTCTTCTATCTTCATTTCATTCGGATCACATCATTTTGTCCATAGAATCTTTTTGTGTTTTATAGAATCTGTTAATAGATATCTTTCCTTTAACTTTTTCTTGAGTTCTTTCAGTTTAAGATTTATTGAGCATGTTCTTCATTTTTGCTTTTCTAACTCAAGATCTTTGTGGTCATGTAGTAGCATTTAATTGCTGAGGTAACAGGGGAGTGCTTCCAAGCATAGGTAGCAGAGTCAAAGTTATGATCAGAGTAGCCTGACTTATAACTATGGAGTTGGCTCCTTAGGCAGGGTGTCCCTAGGAGTGAATTAGATAGGTAGGGTATTAGATATTTACTTGAGCTATACAAGCATAAGACTTTTAGACCAGGTGAGTGGCAGTCTAACTCAAATGACCAGACTAGGGAGTGCACCCGCTACGGAAATCAGCATGGCCCTTTCTTAAACTAATGCAAACACAATTAACCATGATCCTGCAACCCCTCTACTGAGGGAAACTGCCCACCCACTGCCATCTAGTCAATTCTGACTCATATAAGGCTTCTGAAAGGGTAACTCTTTATGAGCTCAGATAGCCTCAACTTTCTCCCACAGAGCAGCTGGTAGGTTTGAAGTATCCACCTTTTGGATAGAAGTCTGATGCTTACCCAACAGTGCCACCAGGGCTCATAGCAGAGGTGGATTAACAAAGAAACAAAACCACACAAAAAACTCACTGCCATAGAGTACATTTTTTCTTATAGAGATCCCACAGAACCGATTAGAACTGCCCTTGAGGCTGGGTGAAAGTGGAAAGCCTCCTCATTCGCACAAAGTGGCTGGTGGTTTCAAACTGCTGACCCTGTGGTTAGCAGCCCAATGCATAACCAGGGCTACTAGCAAGGGTGGTAAAGGTTGATAATGTTAAATGGAAAAAGAGCTTTCTGGAGTTGTCAATTTGTTGTAGATATTTTGTTTTTGTAGTTAAAAACAATTATGTTCTTTGGGGTGCAAATAGATGAGGTTTTCTATTCCTGTACGGATTTTTATTTAGTCTTGGAAATCCACAGGGACAGTTCCGGCCTGTCCTATAGGGTTGATATGAGTCAGAATCCATGTGACAGTACTTTAGTTTTTATTTTAGGTTTATAGAAACATTACATTTATAATTGGGAACAATGTAACTTTGGGTCCTGATTCTGTCACTTCCTGATTGTGAAACTACAGGTAAGCTACTTGACCTTGTTGTAAAAGGTAGGAACGATATCTACTACTACTGGTGGTGGTTCAAACTGGTTTGAATAGAGTAATAAGGTTAATGTAATATACCGCGCGACATATTAAAACGCTCAAATGGTCCCCATCACTATTAGTAAATGAAGGTAAGAATTTAGTGAGTCAAAGCACAATAGCAGCACACTAATGGAAAATCCTAGGTTTGAATCTTTCTCAATGTTTTGAGGAGCCAGATTATAGCAGCAAGATTCTTGAGCATTAATTTGTGGTGTATCGACACAGAAGTTCAAAGTAAACAAACGCTCACATTCTTTTATTCACGATTGAGTCTCACAGACTACTACGTAAGACAAAATATTCAAGGTCAAAAGTGGTCAACAGTTTTCCCGAAAGCACACACTCGTGCGTTAGCCACGGCGGAGAGGAATGTGCTACGTTTAGGATACTGCATGAGAGCCAGAGGCCAGAGCACGATCTCTTAAATCATTATCCTACGAGGCGGAGAGACGCGGACATTCACTTTGAGAAACCCCCACCCCCCCAAAGACAAAAGTTCCCAAGACCTTGCGGACAAAGCGCGGAGCGCTGCTTTGCGACAGGGGCGGACCGCAGCCGCAGAGCGGCCGTAAAGCGCGGCCTGGAGGTCACGTGGACGCGGCTTCCGCTCCGGTCGCCCGCGGCCGTTTTTTTCCTGCGGTCACGTCGTGCGCCATGCAGGGCGGCCGCACCGGGGCCCTCGACCTGCTGCGGACACTGCCGCGAGTTAGCCTGGCCAACCTCAAGCCGAATCCCGGCTCCAGGAAACAGGTAAATACTGTCCACGGTGCGGAAGGCGGGGGCTGGCTTCTCGGGGTGCCTCTTCCCCCTCCGCCCCTCGCTTTTCGACCGCTCCCTGCCGGCGGGGGGGGAGAGAACTCCTGTTTGTGCACTGCGCAGAGGGCAATCAGTGTTGGCCCAGTTAGTGAAAAAGACTTAGAGCCGGGAGTGTGCTAGGGCGGATGAGCAAAATGTCAGAAACACTACAAAGTCATTGTCTCAAAAAAATTGTCTCATTCAAAATCGATTTTGGAATGAAGTGCTTTCTCGATATACGTTTTCCTTGGGAAGCTCTGTATTGATATTTCACTTCTATGGCGCGCTGAGTGCAGCTAGAACGTTTATTTATAGTTGATGTACTGTCATTTTTGCAGATTCAATTGTTTTTGGACAGTGACAGGAGTCAATTAAAATTAGTTCTTTACAAACTATTCCTTAAGCGAAATTATATATATGGCTGACAATTACTGTGTTTTACAATCAATTCTCAGTTTTTTCCCATTGCCCTTTTCTATGAACTTTGGCGTGGATATTTAATTCTAGTTTTTTTCCAACTTCAGTCTCTTGTAAAATCCTTTGGCTCCATCCCACATATAGGAAATTGCATTTGAAGCGCAGCATGCAAGAGTTAACTAAAATTCTGCTAATTTAGAATGTGAAGACCGGTGAGCAACTAAAGCTGCTGTACTCAGTCGGATGTGCCTGTCAATACTGGTTGGTTGGGTGGATGAATGGCTTATGAAAACACAGTGAAGAAGTGAGAGGCAGTATAAAAAATACATTTACTCACACATCGTAAGATTCCCCCCCTTCGTTGTAGGCGAGAAGACCCAGAGACCGGAGAAGAGGCAGAAAATGCGGCAGAGGCCATAAAGGAGAACGGCAGAGAGGAACTCGGCCCAGGCTGGGCTTTGAGGGAGGTCAGACTCCATTTTACATCCGGATTCCGAAATACGGGTTTAATGAAGGACACAGGTAAGGTTTCTTTGCTTTTACAAGCAGAAACACTAAATTTTGCTGGTAATCATTTCAAAAACAACTTAGAAATTTGAGGGTTTTTGGTAGCAAATATTTGCAAATGTTGCTTTCCTTGAAACCAAGCCAAACCCATTGGCATGGAGTTGATTTAAAAAAAAATTTTTATTTGCGGCTCTTACAAATCTTATCACTATCTGTCATTCAATTGTCTTAAGCATACTTGTACATATGTTGCCGTCATCATTTCCAAAACATTTTCTTTCTACTTGAGCCCTTGGTACCAGCTCTTTTTCCCTTACCATGGAGTTGATTTCTATTAGCGACCTTAGATAGGATTTTTGAGACTGAAAGATGAGCAGACAGCCTCCTTTTTCTCTAGGGGGAGCAGCTGGTGGGTTTGAACTGAGATCTTTGCAATTAGCCACCGGGGTTCCTTAACTAACAAAGAAAAAGACAAAACCCCTCCACTTGGATTGACAAAGTGACTGCAACAATGAGCTCAAACATAAAGAGGGAGTGAGGACAGTGCAGGACCAGACATTGCTTTGTTTTGTTGCACATAGGGTTGCTCTGACTCAAACGGACTTGATGACACCTGCCAATAATAACAAAGATGCATCAGTAGTCAGGTTCAAATAGTAATAAATTACCAATCCCCTTATCTTATTCGGGTTCCTCATTGAGCTTACTGAACAACTGTAGAGAACAAATCCAACGCCATTGTGGACTACAAACATGCGCTAAACTGTGGAAGAGAAAAACCCTGGTGGAGGAGTAAGTTGTGAGTTGGGCTGCTCACTGCAAGGTCAGCAGTTCTGAACAACCAGCCTCCTAGGGGAAAAGAGAAGACTTCCTACTCGCAAAGAGTTAACAGTTTTGGGAACATACAGGACTCAGACCTATAGGGTTCCAGCGAGTCAAAATCAACTCAATGGCAGTAAGCGAGACTCTAATTGGTATTCAAAATTAGCCTCGATTATTATTCTTAGTTGCTTTTGAGTTGATTCTTGGTTTGAATGACCTCAGGACTGCTCCACGGGGTTGTCAAGCTTGAAGGTAATCTCCAGGCTTGATTTCTGAGCAATCTTTGGGTGGGTTTTAGTCACAAACCAGCCTTTTGTTTATTCATTTATCACTTAACTCTTTGCACCACTTGAGGAGAATAATACCTGCTTTTGTGATTGGAGGCTCAGCAGTAACATATATATAAAATATGCAGCCCCGCTTACTTACCGGTACCTTAAAAACGGTAACTACAGTCACTACTTTGAACCCCATTAATGTGAACTCAGTGAAATGAGTGAAGCATGTTTTTAGTGAAACAAAAGAAGTACTGGCATCATTTCATTATCAGTGTTAGTTAATGGTGTTACATGTTTGGGCTGTGCTCAAGCTCTGGTGGTTCAGTGGTTAAGTGCTTGCTCCTTAGTGTTATAGTCTTAGGAACACATGGGGCGGTTCTACGAGTTGGAATTGACTGTGTGGTAAGGGTTTTGGCTTTTAATTTTTTTGTTTGTTTCGGGGTTGTACTCAAGAGGGCTTTATTTGTTTTTTGTTTGTTTCAGCAATGTACTCAAAAGTATCCGGTTTTGTTGGCGGAGGAAAACACAACAAAACTGAATTGATTTGGAGAAGTGACAGGACGATTGAATTGACTGAGTTTTAGTTTTCTGACTGCTACTTTCTTGTTTTGTAGCTTCAGACACCAGTATCAGCCCTTGAGTCTTAATAGACTGCAGTATCTTATTGACTTGGGTCGAATTGATCCTACTCAACCTATTGATTTAACCCAGCTTGTCAATGGAAGAGGTGTGACCATCCAACCACTTAAAAGGGATTATGGTGTCCAGCTGGTGGAGGAGGTGAGTCTGAATTAGCTCTTTGGGGGCAAGATAGAAGGATGGTTTTTTTGGGTTTTATATAATCAGCACTCTGTGCCATTTATATTAACTCTTTTGGGTTGTTATTATGTCATGGTAGTGAGTGGACGGTGTAGAGGCCATGCCTGACATTGTTTAGCTACCCAGGGAAAGGAGGTGGCTCTCCGTAGCAGCCCAAGGCCTGTTGTGACGAGAGGTCAGACAAGCCCGCACCTCCCCTCTGTACACTACTCTGAGACCAGTGTTCCTGCCAGCATGCTGTTTCACCAGATTCAATAACCCATTACAGAGGCCACATAATACTTTCAGACAACAATTGTGTAGGTTTGTTAGGGAAGTTAACAGGTTACCACAAGCCATGTCCGTATAACGTTAAGTTCCAGTCTTTGGTCCTTAACAGTGCCTCCCCTTAGCCACCAGCCAGTTTTCTCTCTCTCACTCTCTCTCTCTGTTGCCCAACCACATGGTCCCTTGGCCTCAGCTTCCATGTGCCAGGAGGCCTGCTGGATGCTCTGCCTGGTAGTCTCAGTGCTACTTCTCTTCTCTGTTTCAGAATCCTCCCTTGACCTTTGGTGTAGCATGGCCGTTGCCACCTCTCCCACTTCAGGCAGGGCTTTCACATGTGCCTCACATTTGAACTATTAAACTAGCAAAAATCATACTTAAACTCTACATCAAGACTGGCTGAATAAATATTACTTTGGATCATAAATAACCCAGTAATTACATGGTATGTTTTTTCTAGATTTCATATTTTCAATTACTAGTGGATAATAAGACTTGAATGTCACAGTATTACTAATTTGGGAATGTATGTTCTCAAGGAAGAACAAAATAAAAGGAACTTACCTGACGTGAAAACTTTAAAAATAAATGCTATTATAATACTGACCAACCCCCCAAATGGGAAGATGGTTAGGGAATCCATAGATAAAGGCCAAAACCTCACTGCTGATTCTGACTCAGTGGCGAACTTGAAGGAACTCCACAGGGTGTCCAAGGCTTTAACTCTTGACAGAAGCAGCTGTCTCATCTCCCACAGAGGAGCTGATGGGTTCAAACTGACAAATTGTTGCTTAGCAAACCAATCCTCTTCCCATGGCACCATCATCACCCACTGCTATGGAATTCATAGCAACCCCCATAAAGGTTTTTTTTTTTTTTTTTTAATCATTTTATTAGGGGCTCATACAACTCTTATCACAATCCATACATACATCAATTGTGTAAAGCACATTTGTACATTCATT